CTCAATCAGGTTGGTGTCGTTTATTTATTAAATCAAAATGAACCATTACAAATATAAATTGTATATATAAATTTCCCCGACCCAGCTCACCTGTCTGTGACCAAAGAGTTTCTAGATGTGATTTATGGGGATGATATGTTGCTCGTCCATTAATTGGAATTAAGATCCCATTTGTTTAATAAAGTCAAAGCCTGCAGATTATCTCTACAGATTAAGATAGTTATAATTATATTGAGTAAAAAAATTAATAACTATTATAGATAAGTCAATAATAGTTTTGTTTTAAACAATACTAAGGTATAAAATTTTTATAAAGGTGATATAACTTTTTTCTGATTTGGATGGATTAATGATATTAGATAATTTACTTGAGTTTTATTTAATATCAATAAAGTGTAAAGTATTGACAGTATTTTTTTTTTTTTTTCAATGATTAGCATACATCTTGTTTTATTAGGTTATTTTAAATGCAGCATGTACAAATTTGTATTTACAAATTTACAGTATTGACAGTATTATAATATAGTTTTTAAATTAAATTATATAGTTAAATTAAAGATCCTATTAATATTTTGATTTAGTTAATAAGATTTGTTGTAAAGAAAATTTTGTTTATCATGTCACATAACAATTCTACTATTTGCTATATATAGAAGATAAAAAAAATTATTAAAATTATTTCTTGTTTTTTTTTTTTTTTTTGCCTCTAATTAGACTGCAAGAGTTGCATTTATTCATTCAATTTTGAAAAACAATAATACAATATATATATATAATACTATACTAAAGCTAAACTATCATATAATTTGCAGAACATCCATTAATGAATTTAGATTTGTACGTGATTCTTGAATCCTTAATACCAAGGCCACTGTGTTGCCTATATGATTTAGCTATTTACTAACTATTTCACTACAAGGGTGAAATTTATTTTTCAAATAGAATTTATATATAAATTTATATTTTAATTTGTAATTATTTAAAAAAAATTTTTTTCAACTTTAAATTGATATTTTAAAATAAATTGCTAGTTAAATATTTATAAACTTTAATATATTATTTCTTATATTATAAATAATATATATTAAAAGTTTTATTTAATTTAAATTATTATTTATTAAATTATAAGAAAAATTGAATTCTGGGTTTTTTTGAATCAGACTATATATATTTTCACTTCTGTAATGATAAACTTATATAATTAAATAAGATTAAATATAGAGATTGTAAGTTAACTTAAATAAAAATTATAGTTATATAATTGGATATAAATTATTCAATAAAGAATACATGTATTACTAGTATCTTTACACCTGAAAAAAAAAAAAAGTATATATATAAATTTAATTATTAAATTTAGTTAATTAATAAATATTATAATATTTAATAAACTTCATAAAGAATTTCAATATCTTTTAATCTAAGTTTGTTTAATATTCAGTAAAATATAATAATATTATTATTGTTGTTTAAAATTCAAAGATTTAAATATAATTTTTTAATTTTGAACTTTACAAATTATTTAATTTTTTATGGATTTTATTGTTTTTAAATTATTTAAATTATTTTACTTAGGTAATCAGTTTCAAAAAAAATACTTTAAGACACTATTGTATATACTGTATTTATTTACACATTAGTTATTAAACTGTAAATAAAAAACGAAAACTCATTAATTCAAATTTTGCATCAAATTATAAATAAGATTATATTAACCATTTTTATTTTTTTATAATGATTAATTTTGTCTAAAAAAAGATTAATTATTGTTTTAATCAATATCTAGAAAATACATTTTTTAATCTACTTATTTCAAATACTGCAGAAATTCTCTTATATAAACTATTATTAATTTATAAACAATCTTGCTTTTAACGTAAACATTCAATAAACCACATCACCTTCTCCCTCCTCCTCAAAAACCCTTGCCATTCGTCTGTCAACTCCTCTACGCGCATATTGACCTACGTATCTCCATGCAGATCTTTCGTCCCTTGATTCTCTTTTTATATCCTTCAAGATAACCTCTCTTTTTGTTCCTTTACTACCTTTCTTGTTTTCAACCACCATCACCTTCCTCCTCAGGTTTTCATCCTGTAATTTCTTCTTCAAACTCAAATCTTCTCGTTGATTTTTATCCATTACAGGGTTTTTCGATGGTAATTTAATCCTCAAAGGTGGCAATTGATCGTATTTTATAAGCATCGTTCTATAGAAATCCAAATTCTCTTTCCATCTAAGTATTAGATTTTCGTCCAAATCTTTCAAAAATTTTTCTTCTAACGCCGACTCGTAAGCCCACACAATTCTTTTCAAGAATCGTAAATCCTTTATATTGTATACCGGCATATTCATTGATATATAATTACTACTGACCAAAACAGGAGAACAATGAATCAAAGTCTTTTCCTCATCGGAAGTAATTTTCATTACAGATTTCTTTGATATTCTCGAAAATTTTTCAATCATGTTTGGATTACTAGGTCCAAAAGATTCGATCTGTTCTATAACCCATCTCACGTCCTTCGGACTATTCCACGGTTTCCTGTTTAGCATCGACAATTCCAGTATCATATTTAACAAATGAGAATCCAGGCAAATATCCACCCTTTTTGTTGCTATAATAGCCTTAAAAAACTCTTTTCCAGCGATCCAATCTTCTGTAATTCGACATGCTGTTAATAACATATCATACGTTTCCAAAGTCGGTTCTAATCCGCGAGCCTTTATTGGATAATAGACATCTATGGACTTGGTGAACTTCCCTACCTGGTTATAACAGGTAATCAATTTATTGAAGTTGTAAATGTCCAACGAGAGATTTGGGAATTGACTTAATGCTTCATCGAACAACATAATGCCCTTCTCGAATTTCCTAGCGCCAATACATAAACTTAACATGATATCCACTGACTTTTCATTCATAATACTTCGATATGAAATTGAAGATGGAGCCATTGCTTTATGAAGCAAGTCCTCATCTGAGGACGCTAAACCATATACATTACGAATTATCTCGAATCCTTTATCGTAATTTTCGGTTTTTCGGCATACCAACAGCATTGCTCTCACTAATTCATCATCCATCTCTAAAGTAATTCCCAGCTCGGGTCCATATCCGTCCGATTCACGTGGTTGATTATTTTCTTTCGCGGATTTTCGGTGGTCACCAATTATAGAATTAATATGATTCCATAATTGTACGGCTACCAAAAATCCCTTTTCACCTTGCCTAGCACAAGCATTTAACATTATAGTGAATGTTTCTTGATTTGGCGTCCAATCGCCAATGTTAATCATTTCATTAAAATTTTCTTGCAGTGCATCGAAATTGTTTAATCTAGAGCACAACTTCAGTAAGCAATTCACGTGGTATACGTTTAATTCTACGGGTCTAGATTTTGTAGAGGAGTTCATTTTGGAGATGAGTGAACGAGCTTGTGCTATGTTGTCTGCATAAGGCAGATAATCGGCGAGTCCATTTAGAAGAATAGTGAAGGTACGGTCATTTGGTACGAATCCATGCTTTTTCATCTTCCAAAGAGTAGAGTGCGAATATCAAAGACTAACAAAGTTAATAGACGAATTACCATAAGGAATTTACATTAATTAAAAAAGTTTACCTCGTTGAATAACCGAAATCCCATCTTTACCTCCTTCTTTTTAACGCATTCAACGATTAAATGATTCCATACCACTTCGGATTGCGCTTCTTTTTTTGAGTGCCAAACGATACTAATAGCATCGTCTAATTTATTGGCGTTCCCGAGGTTTTGAACCCATTCGGCTAGTATATAAGGATCTGTAGGAAGTTCGAGTTTAGGGTCAATGTTTTTAACTTCTATTTTTGTGCGCAATTGATTAGGGGTAACGAGGAAAGGACGAGTTTGTAAGAGTATGGAATTAGTGAGAAAAAGGGAAACTTGACGTATATGAACAGTTCGAGTACGAAATTTTGAAAACATATTTGAAAGCTGTAGTTACACGTAAGTTTCACAAAATCGCGTTCTTGCAATAGATAAAAAAAAAACGGATCTGTTATATACCGGACCTAAACAAGATAAGACTATAAATATGAAAACTATGCCAACAATAAAATCATGTGACTTTGAGATCTTTTAACCTTTTATAGAAATATGTTTTTTTTTAAGTAGGTAAACATTTTGCTTTATTATATTGTAAAAGTTTTAAATTTTTTACATGAAGAAAGTAACAGCATCTCTTATATAATCAATTGATCAATAAGTCTAATGCTAGCTTACCTACAGGAAACTATTTAAGTAATAAAGAAAAATAAATATTAAAATAAATTGAAAAAAAAAACACTTTCCTATCTATCACCAATTTTTCTTTATCAAAATACTTTAAACCTCAAGAAACACTACAACCAACAGATATAACATTGCAATTACACTGATTACATTAATATTATCAATCCATAGACATTATAAGCAAACAGCCAACAGCTTATTTTCTTTTTATAAGAGAAGAAGATAAAAATCAAGCTTCTTGATTTACAGTAAGGTCTCAGGAAGCCAACATCTCTACCACCACTATAGCCAGTCATGTGCCAGGTTAAATATCTCCTCTAGACACTGTAGAAACTCAAATTTTATCTGATAAATCAGACAATCTCATCACCTTCCTTGAGCTAGAAGGATGCCAGACTTCTTATTAACTATACAGAGATAAAAGAAAATTTTATCGTATATACCTTCAATTTATAAAAAACCAAAACCAGTTTATCCTCTCCAAACTCAATGTATTACAAACACATATTCAAAAGAATCAGTCAATTAAATGAGTAAACAACACATATGCATTACCAAAACATGTCAATATATATTAATATCAAGAACAGATCAACAGTAGCATATCACGTTAACAACAAAATATATCAATATTAAAACATATCAACAATAAATCATATCAATTCTAACTATATCAATACCAGTTAAACAACTTTATACTTTATTAATAAACAAATAATCATATATAAGCCACGTGTTCCAACAAGTAATAAGTAACAAATAACAATATCAAAATAATTATACAATTCAATACAAATAAACAACTATGATTAAACAAAATCTAATCACAATAGTTTATAGCAACTCAAGTTCTTAATTAATTATAACAAATTTAAATGGCAACATACTTCTAGATGTTATTCTTATGAAAAAAACAAGACGTTATATATCAATAATCTATCTAAACCAAAAAAAAGAAATCATTCTTACTGAATATTCCAGAATCCTAACAATTTCTTTTCTCAGTAATCATTTTTCCAAGTGGCTTATTCCTATCACAAATCTTATCAGATCAAATTCCTTAACCCTTTCAGTTTTTTAAATAGAATTCACAATATCAAAGAATAAAAATAGTCTGCACATACAAGTTTTAACCCTTAAAAAGAAACCTATCCAACTGCTAGATAAATTTTTAAACTACTACAACTCACTTCAGAAAGTCTTTATAGAAAATAGTCAACTAAAAAATCAAGTTCTTCAGAATGTTATTGTAAAAGGCTAGAATTATTCAAAGCATATTTCCTGGAATATAATTCAAGTTAACAAGACTCTATTCAAAAAAGTCCAAAACATTTTCTCTTACAAGAACATACCAACTGAAAAGTATTATTCATCCAGCTACAACCAGCATGTCTTTTCCTAGTGAAGTGTTAAAGATGTCAAACTCCTATATAGAATCACAAGACAACTCTTCAGCTGTTAATCAAATACTATTAATTAATAACACAATTGTTTAATTACAACTCGGCTTACTTCAAACCAATATTCAATCAAATCCTCCAGAAGTACCTATCAATCACAAACAATTATCCATTAAAGAATTGTACAAAAATGACTTATTCATGTCTATAGACTTAAACTTTTCCATCCCAGAAGATATAGATATGATGAATACCATAGGTTCATATATTCATCAGGAAAAAAAAAACAATCACAACAATCACTTATTAAATACTTCTATTATATTACAATCAACTACTATCCCTAGTCAGCACAAGCCAAACCTTATATTCTCATGTTTCTCTTCACCTATTCTCAAAAATGCCCGATCTCTTAAACAACAACATAAACAAGAACATCCAGTAGAAAGAAATACTTATAAAGGAAAACTGGACACAGTATACAAGAGACTATGGGCATATGAAGAAGATCTCATTCTAAAATACTCAAGAATAGAGGATTACGATATAATCATCAATATTGATAATAAAAAGAATAATCTAAACATTTCTGATGATATTATTAGCAAGCATTATTATATTGTTCAATAGGCATCCAAACTTACCACAATTAGAAACAATCCTAAAAAACTTATTAAACTTCTATTAGATATTAATTAACAATCCAAAAACAAAGTTAGACAGAAACTCCACTTAGCTATCTTCATTAAAATAGAGGCTAGGGACAGAGGTTTTTTCAACTTTAGCAAAACATTCAAACTTAAAAAAGACCATCAAAAAGAGTATGAAAAGCTAAAAGGCAGATTTCCAAAAATTTATAGAACCAAGTATAAGGTTATAGAGCTCAACAGAGAAGTCAAGTCTAAGATCAAATTGCTACTAAGCACCAGTCTATTTATTACCTACTTGAGATATATTAATATCTTTGATCTTAGTCTATACCTTCTAGCACAAATCATGAAATATAGATACAACTACTTCTGTCAATCCAGAGAAGACAAAAAACTTGACTATTATGAATTTTTTTAAAAAAGCAAAAAAATATTCCAAAACAATCACCCTGAGCTTCCTACTTCTCCAGATTTAATTCTTTCTCAAATAAAGAGTAAAATCCCTTACAGGATCTCCATCCTTGACAAAAGCATAATAGCAAGTGTTGCAGGATTTCTCTATTCCCTTTACAAATTTATCTTTCTTTCTGATTCCTACTTTATTACTCTTCCAGACCTCCTTAATTATTTTCAAGAACTTCTCAAGAAAGTTTTACATTTCTTTCCAATTAGAAAGAGAAAAGATTTCAAAAACTTGGGAAACATGATTAGAGAACTTAGAACTTTTTCATTGTTTCTTCTAAAATCCCATTAACTTACTTAGACCTTCCATCTCCCAAAATTTCTCTCTCTTTATCTTTTGACCTGTTGAATTTGAAATTTATATATTTCTTTCCACTTGACACATCAGTGAACAGTATTAAAGATGCCGTCAAAAGCATTAAAGCCAAATATTACTTTGAACAGCTTTTTTTCAATTTTTTCAAATTCAGAAGACTCCTTCCAATCTTTCCATCAATGATTAATGAATACTGATCCAAACTAGAAATCCAAATTCCTATCACAAACCCTCACGATATCTAGTTTTTAATCAGAATGTTAAGATCTGAGTATCACTTTTCACTTTCATTAGGTTCATTTTGGGTATCTTCTAAGATTTTCCAGACAAATAAACCAAAATTTCCAATAAAATTGGAGAACATCAAATCAGATCTCAATATTAAACAGCTCTTCTATAGTAATATCCAACTTAAGGAAAAAATCAAAACTCTACATGAATTCTATAAGTTTCAAAGAATTCCAGAGAATTGGTTCACTAACTCATGAGTTCTTTTGCTTGAAGATCCACAAGAAATCAACAAAATTCTATTAGACAAAAGCCTTATGACTCTTAAATTTCCTCTAGCTGACAATGATGTCCTCTTAACAGTTCTCTATTAACTCCATCAAACATTCTTATTCACCAGATTACCTAACTCCCTTATTATTAGAGAGACACTTCCAGAACTGGAGTTTGATCTTCTTTCTTTCTTATATTAAATAACATGTTTAGCAACTCCAATATGCTTAATACAGCAATCAATTCTAATTTATTAAATACTCAACAAAATCCATCTATCCAAAGCACTATAAACATATCTACTGAAAACTCATCACAAGAATCTTCTAAGCATTTTACCTCAAATCACACAAACCAACTTAACAATATCAATAATACAAAAAATCTTATTACTTTCATCACTAACAACACCAGAGATCTCAACAATCTAACCAAACTCAAAGCTTTAGTAAACACAACAAACAACAGATTCATTTTAATATGCACCAAAACAAAACTTAAAAAAGAAGATTCTTATCCAAAAAATATCAATAGAAGAGCAATTATCTATAGCAATTCTAATCACGCAAAGAATGGTACTATATTTATTATTGACAAGGATCTCTCACCACATATATTCAAAATAGGAGACATCTCAAAATACTGTTCCTCAATTATTTTAAAATTCAGAAGTAATATTAATATTCTATCAACAACAATTTCTCCTTTATATGAGAAAAAGGAGAGAAATTCAATCCTTAAACAATTATATCAAATGATCAAATTTGCTATATGCAACAAACTACAATAGAACCTCCATAAATTAATATTCCATAAATTAATAATATCCCTAAATTTATAAAATTCTTTGGTCTCATTTTCAAAATTACTATATAATTTGTCTCTATATTTTAATAATTTCATTAATTTTATAAAATTTTAAAAAAACACTATGGTTTCAAAATTATTAATTTATAAAGATTCAATTATATATTACATAGTTTTAGGAGATTTCAATTCTTATCCCAAAGGCAGCCTGTCAATTGGAGCCAAAAACTTCTTCATACAAACAATTAGTCTACAAACATCTTAATAATTATATTGATATTGGATAGCAATATGATGACAAAGTATTTATCCATATCATCAGTACTAGTGCCTTATGAATAGACCAAGCATAGGTATCGAGAATCCTTGCTCCTAAAATAATCTGGTATAAGATTCAGGAAATAGATTCCATTTCAACTGATCATCATGCAGTTTCGATAAAACTAGATTACTTTGAGTTCAGAAAAATCAAACCAGCCTTCAAGTTTAACCTTAACAAATTCTCAAAAGAAAATATCACTGAATTTACCAAAGAGCTAGATCACTGAATTAGCCTTT